CCCACAGGACCCTGAACCCAGCCTGGACCCTACTCCCACCCCAATCCCCACATCCCAGCCATGGCAGACTTCCAGGTGTGAGAATGTGATGGCAGACACCCTCCCTCCAAAGACCCCACTCCACAGGCCCCCAGGGCCCCTGCCCAGCCCTGCGCATCTCCCATCCCCACTGGCCCACTGTTCACAGCACACTCCAGGCCCTCCCTGCCCCCAACAGGAGGTCACAGCTTATCGCCTCCCCAAAGGCCTCCTGCCCTAAGACCACACTGAAGCCTCCCCAAGTCCGTGAGTGACAGGCCAGGGTGCCGCTGGGGCTATGTGGGGGCTCTTCCTCTCCACTCTGACCTCTGTCCCTGTGGCCTAGGATCAGCTCCAACCTCCAGTGGGCCCTCCGGGGCAGGGAGCGGAGGGCTAGCAGGGGAAGAGCACGGCAGGGCTTCGGCTGACCCAAGAGAGCCAAATCGGGGTCTCCCACCACCCTGGGGCCAGAGGACAGCTTCAGACCAGCCCCTTCCTGCATCTGTCTCCCCACAGTGACACCCTAACTCCACTGGCTGGCAGAAGCTGAGCCATCTCCCAGGTGAGGTCAAGAAGCATGCCCAGGCCTGGGAAGCAGAAGCCAGCTCCAGTGTGTCCTCAAGCCTGCCCCCGTGCCAACACCAAGCCAGGTCCCAAAACAGCCTGGCCTCACTGTGGCCCACCCTGACGGGGACTGGGAGAAGGTGCAGGCCCCTGGGTGGGGCACTCTTCCAGAACGGCTCTGTGCCCGAGCCCCTCTGCTGGGGCCACTCCCGGGGGTCCCCCACCCCTCTCAGGTGGTCAGCTCACCACCTACCACCACAACCCAAATGGCTTCAGACCCACTTCTGCTGGCCTCCACACATGCTAAACTTGGTTTCCACAAGCTCCCTTGGGAGTGAGCAGGGGCCACATAGGCTCCAGGCACCGAGGCACCTCCCTGGGGTCAGTCTAGATTCAGTCTACACACTTGAAGTTGTCAGGACTGCTTGCAGGGCTCCAGAGAAGAGTCAGATCCCAAGGAGCTCACCTCCTGCAGGAGGCAGAGGGGAGCCACTGGCAGGTTCTTGGAGCTCATCATAAGGTCAGTACAGAAACAAACCCGTGGCCTAGGCACAGGCCGCCAGGTGCCATGTCCTATGGGGAATGCACAGGGCTGCGCTCGCTGCTCCATGGCCAGCTACCCACACGCCCCGTTGCCCCAGGGCAGGGCAGGTCTGTTCCTGTCACAGTCTACCCAAGGAGGAAATAGGACACACGGAGGTCCTGTCATTCTGCCCCAGTCAGACAGCTGGCAAGGGAGGGGAGGGGCTGGGCAGGGAAGCCTCAGTGGAGACCACCCCACCATGCAGCCCAAGAAAGGGGATGATGAATCCCAGCTTGTGCCCCCAAGGTAGACAAAGCAAAGCCTTTACAAGGAGAGGACATGGAGCCCTCTCCATCCCCTGGCAGGGTGCCCAGAGGCCCTGGGGATAGGGCTGGCCTGAGCGTCACAGCCAGGTGTGCTGGGTGGCCTGGCACGGGCATCCAGGCACGTAGGAGGCCACCCCGCCATGGGGCGCTAAGGTGCTTTGCTTAATAGGATCCCACTGCCTGCCTGGGCCAGGCCTGGTGGGTGGGCAGGCACTGACCTACTTAACTCCTCGGACACTGGCGCTCTTGGCTCAGGACGGTGGCAGAAGCCCCAGCGGGGGCCAGAGCACAGCTGCCCACAGGAGCGGGGCTGCTCCCCACCCCGCGCTGGGCTCCTGCGGCCAGCTCCCACCGGATAAGGGTGCCTGGCCCCACCCCACTTCCTCAGGGGAACCTCCTGGCACTGCCTGTAGGTAGGTCTGCCCGGCTCGGGAAATACAGGGGAGACTCTCAGGGCAGGGTGGGGCGTGAGCTGGTACAAGCCCTCAGAAAACAGAACCCACTCGCTCCTCCCAGAGACCCGGCAGGCCCAAGCTGCCGCACACCACAGTGACACCACAGACCCAACCCACACACGTGCCCCCGGCAGCTCTGTTGGGAGGGCGCTGACGATGGGGCACCACACGGCGACACGGACCCCGTACGCCCGGTGTGGTGTCAAGGGCACCAGGATAGGCAGCAGAGCTGTGGGAGTCCAGGGCTCAGAGTGGGGGGACCTGCAGAGAGAAGTCCCCACAGACGGCAGAGCCCCGGGTCCTATGGCCACAGAGAAACTGGAGGGCTGAGCTCCTGGGGCAAGCTGCGTCCCCCTTCTGACCTCCCCAAAGGGCTTAACACAGCATTTCGTGATCTGCGTTTCCCACTGTCCAGCACGTATTACACTTCAAAATTTTAAGTGAAAAAATTTAAGTTATAAAGATAGATAAAGACAACAGTAACGTGAAGCACCTGGGTGGCTCAGTGGTTGAGCGTCTGCCTTTGGCTCAAGTCATGATCCTGGGGCCCTGGGATCCAGCCCCTGATTGGGTTCCGTGCAGGGAGCCTGCTTCTCCCTCTGCCTGTGTCTCTGCCTCTCTGTGTGTCTCTCATGAATAAATAAAATCTTCAAAAATCAAAAAAATAAAAAGTCCAACAGGAATCACGCTGAGGGCAGGTGGCATTCCTAATACACACACACATAATGAGATGCTCGATTTGCTCACACACAAATGAGAAGCCTCAATCACAGCGAGTGAAAAACCCTGAGAGGTCATTTTCCACCAAGATGGAAGTGTGATAAGTAGCCTCCTGGCAAGGATGTGGGGAGACCGGCCCTTCCGTACGCAGCCCTGCTGCGTTGTCCAGTCCAGCCCCTGGGGACCACAATTTGGCCACTGTCCCAAACTAGAAACACGCATCCCTTTTACCCAGGGATTCCTGTCTAGGAATGTACGCTGCAGGTACCCACACGGCCAAAACTAGGCGCAAGGACAGTCACCACCACCGTGCTGCCATGTCAGAACGCCATCCGTGGGGGGCTGGCGAGGTCTGCTCTGGAACATGGGGCAATGGGACCCAGTACAACCACAAACAACACCCACAGCCACACCGTGACAACAGCCAGGAGGGCACACAGGGTGCGCCATCCAGCAGCTCCATGGTCTCTGCCACAGGAAGATACGGAGGCACAGACAGGTGAGGATACTTGCCCGAGGACACACAGCTAGTTCAAGTTTGGAGCCACCTTTAGAGCCAGGATTGGAACTAGGTGACCTAGCTTCAGAGTCGGGCTCTAAACCGCTGTGCTTAAGGGGTGGCGACCTTCCCGGGAGAGGGCTGTAGCGTCTTACAGACGAACAGAGACAGCGGTGTGGAGTGACAGATCCTTCCCGAGATACAGGCCCAAACGGAAAAGCCCTTTAGGTGCAGAAGCAGATGGTATGTGGCCAAGGGGTATGTAAGGACACGCTCCTGCCCCTGGAGAGATCCAGAAACTGCCAATGTCGGTGTGGGTGCCTCTGGGGGCAAGACAGGGGCCAGCAGGGAAAGGGGTCTCCTTTTCCCAAGTCCCCTTTTATAATCGATTTTTCTTTAGCCAAGTTCCTTATTACCTAGTTTAAAAAGCCATTTTTCCTGGGTCCCGTATGTCTCAGAGGAGTCTAAGCACTGGGGGAACTCCCCAGACCCCAGGGCTGAGGGCACAGAGCCCCCGCAGAGCGGCAGGGCCCTCAGAGCAGAGAGGCCATACTGGCCCCTAAACACTTCCTCCAGGCAGGGGAGGCTGAACAACCGCCCACACTAGAGGAAGTAGCACTGCCCACAGCCAGGTGTGGTCAGGATGGGGAAGGAGGGAGTGCCAGGGACCCAAGCAGGGGAGGACAGGTAAGGCGCGACAGGGAGGGGAGAGAGGGAGCAGTGGGGCCACCCTCCTGGCCCCGGGACACTGTGTCTCAGTAGCCTAGTGCCCGGCTTCCAGGTACTCGCTGGGACACTGGAACTGTGCCCTGCCCATGTCACCTCACATCATGCCACAGCCCCCAAGGCCACAGCCTGGCCCTGCAGGGGGAGGGAGGAGGCCACCAACACACAGACAGCCCGGCTGGGAACTTCCCCTCAGCCAGGGGCTGGTCCCGTGGCCTCAGTAAACAGGTTTCAAAACCATTAGTCAGCACTTTGGCCTGCAGATCTGCTGCCTCAGGTTCCCAATCCCCAAACTGGCTCCCCAGGGTCTGGGACCCTCACTGCCTGGCCCCACCGGAGGCCCCAGGGGTGGGGAGGGGACCAGGCTGGGGCCTCCCATGCCGGCCCTGGGCCTGAAGTGGACTCATCGGACTGAGCAACTGCCTCCCTCCCTTCTTCCCTCCTGCCTGGGCTGTCGCACCCCAACTGCCAGGGAGAAGGAATCTCCCTGGGCCCCTCCCCTCCCCCCAGCCTGACGCAGGGAGGGACCGGCCCAGCATTGGCCGGAGCAGTGTCAACAAACAAGTGGCAGCACCACCCTGCCGCCCGCCAGCGCCGGGGACAGGACCCCTCGGTCAGGGCCATTGGGTCAGACAACCAGGGCCCGCACCGCGGCTGGCCAGACCTCAGTGGGTCCCTGCGGCCTGTGGGTGCCTGGGGCGGCCTGGCAGCGGGGACGGCAGGGCTCTCCCCACATGCCCAGAGGAAGCTGGGCCCGAACTGGGCCGAGAAAGAAGTCTCCAGGGATCTGGTCAGGCCTCTCAGATGGGCAGGCCAGAGAGCTACCCCCTCCCAACACGAGACCCCGGCCGGCCTGGGACCCAGCTGCTGCGGCCTGAGGCCGTGCGCCGGCCAGCCTGGGAGGGTCACGAACACCCCCCCACCACCACCACCACCAGCACACGGCCCCAAAGCTTACCTGAAAGTCATACAAAGCCACGATATTTTCATGTTTCAGTTCCTAGGACAGAAACCCAAGTCTCTTAGGACCGAGGCTGGCTCACCCACCACCCTGCTCCCCTACAGCTTCCAGGGCCCGCTCACCTTGAGGATCTTGATCTCTTTCCCCAGCAGTGTCTGGGACTTGGCCAGGTTCTTCTTGTTAATGCACTTGACCGCGACCTCCAGGTCGTGCTTCTGAAAACCAAGCACGATGCTCCTCAGGGCCCAGAACCCAGGCATCCCTGCAGGGCCGCCCCAGGCCAGGTAAACACCTGGGAGTGTGTGTGTGTTGGGGGGGGGGGGGGGCTGGTGTTCCGGTGCCAGGAGCAAGACCTGGGGTGTGGAGTGGGAAAGAGGCGTCCAGAGGAGGTGAGGGTGAGGGGGTCTAGGATGCGGAGATGGGGTTCCCACGCAGGGCGAGCACGAGAGTCTGGGTGTGCTGTGGGGGCGGAAGGGATGAGGGTCCCGGGTGTGTGGCAGAGATGGGGGAATGAGGGTCCGGGGCGAGGGCAGGGACGGCTTCCCTGGTGTGGGGGGATGCGGTGGGCGGGTTGGGCAGGTTTGAGGGGGGAGCCCCAGGTGAGGGCCGGGAGGCAGGGCCCAGGGCGGCAGGGATGGGGCGAGGGTCAGGGAGGGGGGAGCCCCAGGTGAGGGCCAGGAGGCAGGGCCCAGGGCGGCAGGGATGGGGCGAGGGTCGGGGGGGGGGAGCCCCAGGTGAGGGCCGGGAGGCAGGGCCCAGGGCGGCAGGGATGGGGCGAGGGTCGGGGGGGGGGGGGAGCCCCAGGTGAGGGCCGGGAGGCAGGGCCCAGGGCGGCAGGGATGGGGCGAGGGTCAGGGGGGGGAGCCCCAGGTGAGGGCCGGGAGGCAGGGCCCAGGGCGGCAGGGATGGGGCGAGGGTCAGGGGGGGGGGAGCCCCAGGTGAGGGCCGGGAGGCAGGGCCCAGGGCGGCAGGGATGGGTCGAGGGTCGGGGGGGGGGGGGGGGAGCCCCAGGTGAGGGCCGGGAGGCAGGGCCCAGGGCGGCAGGGATGGGGCGAGGGTCGGGGGGGGGGGGGAGCCCCAGGTGAGGGCCGGGAGGCAGGGCCCAGGGCGGCAGGGATGGGGCGAGGGTCGGGGGGGGGGGGGGAGCCCCAGGTGAGGGCCGGGAGGCAGGGCCCAGGGCGGCAGGGATGGGGCGAGGGTCGGGGGGGGGGGGAGCCCCAGGTGAGGGCCGGGAGGCAGGGCCCAGGGCGGCAGGGATGGGGCGAGGGTCGGGGGGGGGGGGGAGCCCCAGGTGAGGGCCGGGAGGCAGGGCCCAGGGCGGCAGGGATGGGGCGAGGGTCGGGGGGGGGGGGGAGCCCCAGGTGAGGGCCGGGAGGCAGGGCCCAGGGCGGCAGGGATGGGGCGAGGGTCGGGGGGGGGGGAGCCCCAGGTGAGGGCCGGGAGGCAGGGCCCAGGGCGGCAGGGATGGGGCGAGGGTCGGGGTGGGGGGGGGGGGGAGCCCCAGGTGAGGGCCGGGAGGCAGGGCCCAGGGCGGCAGGGATGGGGCGAGGGTCGGGGGGGGGGGGAGCCCCAGGTGAGGGCCGGGAGGCAGGGCCCAGGGCGGCAGGGATGGGGCGAGGGTCGGGGGGGGGGGGGAGCCCCAGGTGAGGGCCGGGAGGCAGGGCCCAGGGCGGCAGGGATGGGGCGAGGGTCGGGGGGGGGGGGGAGCCCCAGGTGAGGGCCGGGAGGCAGGGCCCAGGGCGGCAGGGATGGGGCGAGGGTCGGGGGGGGGGGAGCCCCAGGTGAGGGCCGGGAGGCAGGGCCCAGGGCGGCAGGGATGGGGCGAGGGTCGGGGTGGGGGGGGGGGGGAGCCCCAGGTGAGGGCCGGGAGGCAGGGCCCAGGGCGGCAGGGATGGGGCGAGGGTCAGGGAGGGGGGAGCCCCAGGTGAGGGCCGGGAGGCAGGGCCCAGGGCGGCAGGGATGGGGCGAGGGTCGGGGGGGGGGAAGCCCCAGGTGAGGGCCTCCGCGAGCCCCAGGTGAGGGCCGGGAGGCAGGGCCCAGGGCGGCAGGGGTGGGGGTGGGGGTGGGGCGCGGGCGCGCGGCGAGGAGGAGCCCCCGCCGGGCTGGGTCCGGGCCGCCGGCGCCCCTCACCTCCCGGTGGCGCCCCTTGAAGACGACGGCGAAGGCGCCGTGGCCGATGAGGTCCTTGCGCGAGAACTCGAACTTGCCCACGGCCTCCAGGCCGCCGCGGCCGGGCTCCATGGCGCGGGCGGGCGGCTCAGGCGGCGGCGCGGGCCGGGGGCGGCGGGCGGGGGGCGCGCCCCATCGGGCAGGCAGGGCCCGCCTCCAGCCCCGCGGGCCGCTCGGGGCGCGCTGGCAGCCCGGGCTACCGCCCCGGATCCCTCCCCGGGTGCGGCTGTGGGGCTGGGGCCCGGGGTCCGGCTCCGACTCTAGCGGGAAACAAAAGAGCCGCGGCCGCAGGGGCCCAGAGCCCGAGACGGCGGCGCAGGCGCAGTGCGCGGCGGGGGGGCGGGGACGGGGCGGGGACGGGGCGGGGACGGGGCGGGGCCTGGCGGAGGGGAGGGCGGGGCCAGCGGGAGGGGAGGGGCGGGGCCAGCGGGAGGGGAGGGGCGGGGCCAGCACTGGGCTCGCCCCCTGGGGGATCTGACCTGGGAGTCTCTCCAGCTGCGACCTTGCCCCAGGCCCCCTCTAGAGCTGCTTCCTCCTGTCTACACAGCCGCATCACTGCCTGGATGTGGCCTGTGTACCCGAGGGTTAGGGACCGCACAGGATAGACCGGGCTGCTGTAGAGGTGCTGCATTTTATTCATTCTTTTTTTTTCTTAATTTTTATTTATTTATTTTTGATAGTCACACACACACACAGAGAGAGAGAGAGAGAGAGAGAGAGAGAGAGAGAGAGAGGCAGAGACACAGGCAGAGGGAGAAGCAGGCTCCATGCACCGGGAGCCCGACGTGGGACTCGATCCCAGGTCTCCAGATCACGCCCTGGGCCAAAGGCAGGCGCCAAACCGCTGCGCCACCCAGGGATCCCTGTTCACTCATTTTTTAGTAGGCTGCACACACCAGCGAGAGCCCAAGTGCGTGGCTCCATCTCAGACCCTGAGATCATGACCAGAGAGGAAATCAGGAGTCGGAGGCCTAACGACTGAGCCCCCCAGTTGCCAGGATGTGTCCAGTGGTAACGAACCGTCTGCCCCATGGAACCTAAACTCAGGAAATCAGAGGGAAAGCTTCTGTAAATCATTTCATTGGGATGACACGCAGCAGATTCTCAGACACTGTTAAATAGACACTCAGGCGTAAAGTGCTCCAAAGTTTATAATTAAGAGGCCCAACAGTGACTGTGCTACTGGTTTTCATTTTAAAGTCCCCGGAGGGGGAGCATATACAAGACCCTGAGAGCAAACCGCTGCCATGATACACGCACACATCAGGGTATTCACAGCGCTAGGCTGTGTGTTTCCAGTATAAGGGGTAAAGCCCGGGGCTTTCCGTATGCCAGCCTTTCTCTGTATTGACTCGTTTGTTGTTCCTCCCAGGGACTCCATGAGATACTTGTTTTATATCACCATTTTATAGATGAAAAAACCGAGGCCCAGAGAAATGTACCCAAAGTCACACAGCAAGCAAGCAAGGAGCCAGATGCTCACACAAGAAACTGTTGAGTGGCTGTTTGGGAAGAGCCAGTGCTTTTTGCTGTACACCCCGCATACGCACGTGAATGATTCTTACCGCGATCCATTGGAGGACTGCTTCCGTCAATACAGAGGGTAAATAGTCCTCCTCTCTGCCCCCCCAGCTGCAATCACGCCCTGAATGCTTGCTGCAGGCTCTGCAGCCAGGGCCCTCCCAGTGCCTACACTGCCTGCTGCCCTGGGGGGGACCCCACTCACAATCCCCCAGAAGCCTCTTTTCAGGCTCCCAGCCCTGAACTGAGGCCAGAGGCCACCAGAGCTGTGAGGGACAAGAGGTCTCCTGGCCAAGTGCCTTGTTTTTCAGGGGTAGGGTCCCCCGGGTTGAGGTCAACCATGGCACCCGTCAGGTCGGTTTCTATCCCTCAGTTCTCCAGTTATGTTCACTGGGGGCTGCTGCAGCACAGAGAGAGCACCCGCCTTCAGAATGGCTTGGGGGAGGGGACACAAGAGGGCAGTAATTGCACAACAGGTCATGACATTGCAACTGAGGTAAGTGTGAAGAGCAGGCTGGCAGAAGGTGGGGGTGCAAGGCTGCCAGAGGGTGCAGGTCCCTTGGGGCAGGAGCCCAGACCACCCTGGGAAGGAGATCTCCCACCTCAACTCCACAGTGAAGTTGGAGCAGGTGGGTGGAGGTGGGATTTGCATCTGGAAGAGGTTCCTGGGCCTCCAGGGGGAGGAGAGGCTCCCCTAGGGAGGCTGGGTGTGCCCAGTTCCCAACTCTTTATCCTGTGGGCCCTGCTGGTCACTGCCAGGCTCCTGCCCCCCTCTGTCTCCTGGTCAATGCTTATGTCCTCATGATTCACAGCTGCAAATCTGGGTGCTCGCATGCTTCCCTGGGCGCACATTCCCAGCTGAGGGTCAGATGAGCTCCGTCTGGGGGCAGTAACCGCATCGTTGGCCATCAGGTTTGATGTTATTGATCAACACCATGTGTTAATTAAGGTGTCTTTAAACAGAAACCCACATAAAACAGATTACGTATAAAACATTGGACAAAGACACAGTGACCAGAGGCTGGCAGGAACCGCACCCCGTATCTCCCCTGGGGCGCAGCGTCCCACTAGTTCCATGTTCCTTGTTTGCATGGTACAGGTACCATGACCAAGAACCAGCTGTAAAGGCTGTGTGTCACAGCACTCTCTCCTTATGCCCACGTTGACCCTGGGAGGTCAGCCCTGGTCCCTACTCGCTCTTCATGGGAGCAGACACTGAGTGCCAGAGAAGCTACCTTGGGACAGCCCAAGGTCACACTGTTAAGTGGCTGCTCTTGGGTTTGAACCACCAGTCTGGGTCCACTGCACTCGCTGGCTCCTCATCCTCCTGGGTCCCCAAGGCAAGGACTGCGCCTATCCATCCCTGACCCCCGGAGCTCAGCCCAAGGCCTAGCAAGCAATAAGCAAACTTTGAAAGGAGGTTGAATGAACTTTAAGATCTCCTCACTCAACATCCAAAAACCCACCACCCACCAGATGGCCCCCATGCCACTTCCACCTTCTACAACAGGAATGGTGTCATTTCAAAGGTCCTGGCAGTGACTCCCAAGAGACTTAAGGTGAAAGGCGAGTGCTAGGAGGGGGTCTGTGATCAACTAGTAACATCTGCCACAGACACTGGCCTGTGGGGTGGTTTGCGTGCCTTCAAACAGAGGGAAGCCCACATTCTTGTATCGCTGTGTCTTCAAGGGTGTCAAACTTCCTAAAAGTCAAAAACTTTCTTTTTTTTTTTTTTTTGTAAGATTTTATTTATTTATTCTTGACAGAGAGAGAGAGAGAGAGAGAGGCAGAGACACAGGCAGAGGGAGAAGCAGGCTCCATGCAGGGAGCCCGATGTGGGACTCGATCCCAGAACTCCAGGATCATGCCCTGGGCCGAAGGCAGGCACTAAACCTCTGAGCCACCCAGGGATCCCTAAGACTTGGTCATTTATAGAGATTTGAAGACTGTTAGGGTAGATCTGTTGGTCAGATACAAAACTGTTTATTGTTCTCAGGGGCAAACCGTTAACCTGTGATTCTCTTTCCCACTGCAAAGAGATCATTTGTCCTACGAGTTCACATGGAGATAATATCACAGGCCCGGAGCCTCCAATGGTCAGCAGAAACTTGGATGTGAGGGGATTCTCAAACTACGTCTAAGGGGCCCAATCCAGCCCTTCTCTTGGCTTTCTTCTTTTCCTTTTTTTTATCGTGATAAAATAAATTTGAAACTTACCGTCTTAACCATTTTTAAGTGTGCAGTTCAGGGGTGTTAAGCACATTCACACCGCTGTCAGCCACCACCACCGTCCACCTCCAGGACTCTAGCGTTTTCCCAAATGGACACTCTGTCCCCACTAAACCCTGACCCTGCCCCAGACCCTGGTGCCCACCATCTACCCCGTGTCTGTGAGTCCGTGGCTCTGAGGCCCCCAGGTCAGTGGAGTCATGCAGTGTCTGCTGATGACCAGTTCACTCCCTCAGCTTCATGTCCTCATGGCTCGTCTGGGTTGTGGCAGGTGTCAGAAGTTCCTTCCTTCTGAGGCCAAACAATAGTCCACTATATGGATGGACCCCGTTTGGATTGTCCACTCATCGATGGATCCTGGGGTCACTTCCACATTTCAGCCACTGTGAACAATGCTGCTACGAACTCGGGTGTGCAACTATCTCCCTGAGATCCTACTTGCAAGTCTTTGGGGCATGTACACAGAAGTGGAATTGTTGTTGGATCATACGGTAGTTCTATTTTTAATTGTATGAGGAAACTCCATACTGTTTCCCACAGTAGCTGCCCTGTTTTACGTTCCCATCAACTGGGCAAGAGGGTTCCAGTTTCTCCACATCCTTGCCAACACTAGTGATTTTTTGACTTTTTAAAAATAGACATCCAAGTGGGTGTGAAGTGGCTTCTCGCTGTGGCATTGATTTGCATTTCCCTGGTGATGAGTGAGGCTGAGCATCTTCTCACGTGTGTTGGGCATTCATTTGTCTTCTCCAGAGACGTGTCTATTCAAACCTTTGACCGGTTTTTAATCAGGTTGCTATAGCTGCAGTTCTTTATAGATTCTGGATAAAACCTAGCCATGTCCACTTGCCTATTTATTGTGTGTCGCTGCGTTGGAGCTGCACCTGCAGAGCCGAGCAACTGCGTGGCCTGTGTGGCCTGCAAAGCCCTATTTCCACCTGACTCTTTACGGAACGGTTTGCCCACCTCGCCTGGGCCTGGTAAGGGACCCTGCGGCACAGCAAAGAAAGGCCATGCCATGGTCCTTTCTTACCAGCTCTGGGTCATTTCCCCAGGCAGAAACCCAGGAATTCCGGGAAGCCCGGGTGGCTCAGCGCCGCCTTCAGCCCAGGGCGTGATCCTGGAGACCCGGGATCCAGTCCCACGTCAGGTTCCCTGCGTGGAGCCTGCTTCTCCCTCTGCCTGTGCCTCTGCCTCTCTCTCTCTCTCTCTCTGTGTGTGTCTCTCATGAATGAATAAATAAAATCTAAAAAAAAAAAAAACAAAGAAAAGAAAAGAAACCCAGGAATTCCAGTCAATTCCTGTCCCTGTCACCTCGACCACAACTCCTAGGGCGGGTCCACTCCTCAGATGTGACCTCTAGCAGGGAGGTGGGCCTGGGGCCAGTGTCCCCTCCCCCGCCCCCGACCCCCTCCCCCCAGCACTGTGCCGACAGCTGAATAACCTCCCTGGAAAATGGGAGAGGTCCCAAAGAGGATTAAGCAGAACAATGTGGATGAGCTGCCTTCTTCTGGAGGAGTCCTTCAAAAGGACGGGATGCCTCCCTGCCCGCGGGCCGGGCCGCAGTCTGACTCCAGCCCTAGAGCTTGCCCCCAGGAGGCACCGCTGAGGCCAGGGCTCCTTCTGGAAAGGAGAACTTAGGCAGTTTCTCAGAGCACAGGCTCTGAGAGGAAGGGTCTCCCGCCACCTCTGCACCGGTACTGAGCACCGGGAGACATAGGCAGGCGGACGTGGGCATATGCTCCCTCGATGGGGAGGGCGCCAGCCCAGGGGCTTCCATGGAGGCTCTGGGCGGTTTCAATCCAAGCCCGGGGGAAGGGCTACACCTTCATCCCTCTAGGCGGAGAAAATTGGTAGTATTATAACTCAAAACATAAACTTCCCCTACAACCTGGCAATCCTAGTCTTGAGGTACACAAAGTCCTGAACGGGAAATATCCATTCACTACAGCCAATAGCTCAGAGTTGGACGCGAAAGTCCATTCGCGGGCAAAGGAGAAACAAATCGCAGGCATACTCTTGGCAGCCAGAAGGATCAGACGGAGCTCTGGTCCAGCACACTGCGGACACTCGGTGCACAGCACGAGCAGCCAGGTGCAAAGAGCCCCATGGGGCGCAGCATCCACCAGGAGGCATGGCTCAGCCATCCCTGGTGCTGGCAGTAGAAGCCGGATTGCTGCCCGGGGCAGGCGGAGGATCCATGGGAAAGGATGGGGGGGGCATTCTGGGGGTGATGGAAGGGTCCTGTGGTGACCTGGGTGGTGCTGAACACACAGCTTCATACAATGATCAAAACACACTGAACGGGGGCATCTGGGTGCCCTGGCAGGTTCAGTGTCTGCCTCCGGCTCAGGTCATAATCCCGGGGTCCTGGGGTTGAGCCCCACATTGGGCTCCCTGCTCAGTGGGGAGTCTGAGATTCTCCCTCTTCTCTCCCTCTCCCCTCCCCCTGCTTGGGCTCTCTCTCTCCTGAATAAAATATGTTTATAAACTGCACTGAGAGGCGCCTGGGTGGCTCAGTTGGTTAAGTGTCTGCTTTTAGTTCAGTTCATGATCCCAGGGTCCTGGGATTCAGCCCCACATGGGACTCTGCTCAGCGAGGAGTCTGCTCTCCCTCTCCCTTCGCCCTCCGCTCACACCCCTGCTTGTGCTTACGTGCATTCTCTTTCTTTCTGTCATATAAATAAATAAAATCTTTACAAAGAAAAACAATAACTGAAAAAAAAAGAAAAAAAAGAAAAACAATAACTCATTATTAGAAAATTCTTCTTTATGGGACACCTGGGTGGCTCAGTGGTGAGCGTCTGCCTTCGGCCCAGGGTGCGATCCTGGGGTCCCGGGATTGAGTCCCACATCGGGCTCCCTGTATGAAGCCTGCTGCTCCCTCTGCCTGTGTCTCCACCTCTCTCTCTGTCTCTCATGAATAAATAAATAAAAATCTTAAACACACACACACGCACTGAATTATGTATGTTTCATCATATATGAATTATACCCCTCGAAGTTCACTAAAAGGTTCGCAGTGACCCATGGTGCTGCATGGGTGAGCCTGGAATGCATTCTGGGAAGTGAGAGAAGCCAGATCCCAGGGATGACACCTTGGAGGACTCCATTTGTGTGAGACGTTCAGACAGGGCAAATCCAGAGATGGATAGCAGGGTGACAGTTGGTAGGGGCTGGGGAGGGAACGGGGAGGGAGTGCTTGCGATGGAGGGCTCCCACCCACTCGTGGGCACCATGCTGGGGGCCGGTGGGCGGGGGACCCTCAGAGGCAAGTCTGGTGCCAACGTCCCCCGGGGCCCGAGGGAAAAGGAGAGAGACACTGCTGGGTCCCTGGATGCCAAGCATTACGTGACATCTTCCCAGCCACAGGGGGATCCTGTCCTTGCCCTACAGCAGCTCCTGAAGGAAGCCTGGGAGACTCCTGCGCTGCAGAAGGCCTCAGCGGGGCGCCTGGGGCGTTTGCACCCTGCTGGTCAGTGACTCAGCCTGACTCGGACTATAGCCACCCTGCTAATGTAGGATAAAGTCACGAGCCTTGCAGGACATCTTTAAGGCATGCAGCAGCCCTGGTGACCTGAGTCACCACAGGCTCGGATAGGGACAGGCCAGGGACAGGGGCTAAGGCTTCCTCAGAGTTCCCTCCATAAGCCCTGAGCCCCAGCTCCACAATTCTCCCAGCTGGACAAAGCTGTTCCCTCTCTAGCCCTCAGGGGTGTCTTCAGGATGCTGTCCCATGTCCCTCCTGTCTCCTCCCCCTCACCAGATGCTGGCACAAGCCTGGCACACCCCCAGGCGCCCCTCAGCCTGGCTGCTCCCCCCGTGCCCCTACTCTGCGCTGCAGGCCCTGCGTCCCCCACAGGGGCGAGAAGAAGGGGCAGAGGAGCAGGTGGGAGCTACTGTTAAAACTGGCTCCTAAGGGGGCTGACGAGTTCATGGACTGTCAAAGTATAAATAAGGCTGATGTCAGGCTGATGTCAGGCTGATGATGACAAAGTACCGCAATCCAAGACACATCCAGGCAGCACATCGAAGTTTGGTTAGAATTTTGGACAAAGGCCAGCTTATGTAACTGTGCAGAGACAGATGTTTGTTTTCGTGTACACTGGCAGCCTGAAACGACAGGAAGTCAAAGGTCACCTGCGGCATGGTCCATTTATGCGGCGTATCTAGGATAAGGAACCGCAGACAGGCTGCTGGTTGCCAGGTCTGAGGGGACAGCCAGTGCAGAGTGACTGCTAATGGGCCGAGGGCTTTATTTTGGGGTGACAAGCATGTCCTGGGAGCAGGCAGAGGTGGCATGTTCAGCAAACGGGTAGTCTAGTGCCGTGCGGACCGTCCCTCCAAAAAACCCAGGGAAGTCCTGAGTGGGGGTGGGGGGGTGGGGGTGGTTGGCTAGGAGGGAGGTGCTCTGAGGGCTGGGGGAGGGCTCTTGGGGCTCTGCTCTGAGTGGTGGTCCTGCCACCTCCCCCCATTTCACAGCTGAGAAAGCCAGGGCCCGACTGGCCCAGGGTCTCTGGCTGGTGGTGTGGAGTGTAGACGTGAGCCCAGCATGGGCGCCACGGGGCAGGGTGCCACCCAGCACCTGTCAGGTGCCTCCCTTCTGGTGGGGCCCCATCCAGAGGCAGGCTGCTTAGATTGCACTCCATTTTCTTCTAATTAAAATAAATTCTTATGCCATAAAATTCACAATTCTAAAGCATGTAATTCAGTGGTTTTAGTATTCAGTTGTGCAGCCATCACCACTACTCATTCCAAAACGTTTTCATCCCCCCAGCAGGAGCACCCCATTCCCATGAATAGCACCTCTGACAGCCACTAACTTTCCTTCTGTCTCTGGATCTTCCCATTCTGCACACTTTGTGGAATCATACACCGTAAGGGCTTTTGTGTCTGCTTATTGCACACAGCGTGATGCTTACAGTGTCCGTCTATATGTGGCAGCTCATCCCT